AAATGTCCACTTTAGCTTATTTTTTGCAAGGGAAAACCGATCGTAACAACACAACCGGATCCGGACCAACCCGTTTTGCCTGAGACTTCCTCACGAAAATGATGAAAATGAGGCTGCGGCCTAGGCGCGGCGGGGGGGTCGTGCACCAGGGGTCCCAACAATAATTATTCTTTAGAAGTAATAATGTTCAACAACAACAACAACAACAACAACAACACCACCACCAACAACAACAAAAACAACAACAATAACAATAACAACAAGAACAACAACAACAACAACAACAACAACAACAACAACAGCACCAACGACAACAACAACAACAACAACAATCAACAACAACAAGAATCCGCCCCGCGGAATCCCCATTCAGCCACGCACCCAGGGGCAGTGAATGACCGGTCGGTCCCCTCACTCTGATATACATATATATATAGAGAGAGATACACAGATATAGATATGTAAATATGTGTGTATGTATGTATATGTATATATATACACGTGTCAAAAGAAAAAACAAAAACTAGCCTGGCGAAAAACCCAACCATCTGCAGTTGTGGGCAGTGTCGTTGTATGCGCAGTATTCGGTGGAGCTCCCTATGGGGCCACCACGATACGTGTGAGGGGTGTACCAAAATGGGTGCGGTGGGTGCATGCGAACACTGGCATGTGGGCCTTCGGTGGGGCTCCCTATGGGGCCACGGAACCTGTGAGGGGTGTGCCAAGATGGGTGCGGTGTGCGCATGCGAACGCTGGCATGTGGGCCTTCGGTAGGGCTCCCTGTGGGGCCACGGAACGTGTGCGGGGTGTGCCAAAGCGAGGGAGGTGATGAGGGAGGAGGAGGGGAGAGGAGAGGAGAGGAGAGGAACGCGGGGACCGCCTCTTCAAAACGAGGACCCAACACCACAGGATGGCTGGGAGAAAAGCGAAAAAAAAAACACAAAAAAAACAGCCCGTGCCCGCCCGTCGCCGCAGACCCGCGCGACGACCCGGCGGCGCCCGCCGCCCGCGCACCGCCCGCCCCGGAAGGCCCGAGCCCTTCCGGCGCGGCCCGCGCGAGCGGCAGCGCGAGCCCAGCGCCGCGGCCGATGGCGGCGAGAGGCGGCAGGAGCCGCGGGGCGCCTCCTCCTCCTTCTCCTCCTCCTCCTTCTCCTCCTCCTCCTCCTCCTCCTCCTTCTCCTCCTCCTCCTCCCCCTCCTCCTGCTGCTCCTCCTCCTCCTCCTCCTCCTCCTCCCCCTCCTCCTGCTGCTCCTCCTCCTCTTCTTCCTGCTCCAGGCTTGCTGCCTGCTGCAGGAGCCGCGGGGCGCCCCCTCACGCCTGCTCCAGTAGGGGCACGAAGAATGGCATGAACATAAAAACTCGAAGGTCCGCGCGGATTTCTCGGATCGGCGATGGACACCCCCTCCCTGGCGCGCTCCGCGCGCCAGGGGCGGCGCTGGAGGCGCCGCCAGTGGGGTCCAGCGCAGGTCCGAGAAATCCGCGCGGACCTCCGAGTTTTTATGATTATGTCCTTCTTCGTTCCCCTCTCCAGGCTTGCTGCAGGGCCACCGCTCGGGGGCGCTGCGGCGGGCGCCCCTGGTACGAGGGACCCTCTGGAGCTCCAGCCGGTCGCTCCCTCGTGGAGCCCTTCGCTGCTTGGTCGCTGGAAGGTGCCCCAGCTGCTCGCTCCATCCTGGAGCTCTGTGGGGCCCTCAGGGCCTCGCGAAGACCCAATCCCCACCAAGACGCGAACAATGCGGTACAGCCCACTTCCCCGTCTATCCCGCTCGACTTGCGCTCCTCCTGTTGTAGCGTACCCTTCATGCCACCCGTCCTCTTCCCCCTCTGGCTCCACCTGCTCCTCCACTGACCTTCCCCATCCTCCTCCTCGTGCTTCTTCCAACTCCACCTGTTCCTTCAGATCCCACTCGCCATCCTCCTACTCCTCGTGCTGCCTCTCCTCATCCACCTTCTACTCCCCCTCCCCCTCTGATCCTTCTCCTGCCCCCTCATCCTGTTTCTGCTGCCCCACCTCGCACTCCTACATCTGTCTCATTATCATCCTCAGCGTGGCCACCATCATCGCCATCGTCATCGTCATCGTCATCGTCATCGCCATCGCTATCGCCGTCGCCATCATCATCATCATCATCATCATCATCATCATCATCATCATCATCATCATCATCATCATCATCTACATCTACATCATCATCATCATCACCATCACCATCACCATCACCATCACCATCACCATCATCATCATTATCATCATCATCATCATCATCATCATCGTCATCGTCATCGTCATCGTCATCTCATCATCAGCATCAGCATCAGCAGCAGCAGCATCATCACCATCCTCATCAGCATCATCACCATCACCATCACCATCACCGTCACCGTCACCATCACCATCATCAGCATCATCATCACAATCCTCCTCCTCCTCATCATCACAATCACTATCATCACAATCAATACCATCATCAGCACCATCATCATCAACATCATCACCATCACCATAACCATCATCAGCATCATCACCACCATCATCACCATAACCACCATCGCAACCAACCATCACCGTCATCACCATCATCATAAACAGCATCATCATCAGCATGGCTAACATCACTGTCAGCATCGCAATCATCACCACCTCGCAAGCATCATCATCACCAGCATAAACATCATCATCATCATCATCATCATCATCATCATCATCATCATAAGCATCATAAGCATCATCATCATTACATCGTCATCATCAGCATCATCATCACCACCATCGTCATCATCATCATTATCATCATCATCATCATCATCATCGTCGGCATCATCATCATCATCATCATCATGAAAGTGATCCTCAGCATCACCACATCACCATCACCATCACCATCACCTACATCACCATCATCATCAACATCATAATCATACTCATCGCCATCATCATCAACATCATCAGCATCGTTGTCGTCCTCATCAGCGTCATCATCATCGCCACCACCACCACCACCATCATCATCATCGTCGTCATAATCACCATCAGCATTATCATCATCACCAACAACACAATCAGCATCAGCACCATCATCATCAACATCATCATCATCACCAGCATCATCATCGTCATCATCATCATGATCATCATCATCGTCATCGTCATCAGCATCATCATCACCAACACCACCAGCCCCACCATCATCACCATAGTCAACATCATCATCAGCGTCCACGCTTCTTCCACCCTCATCTCATCCCCTCCCCCTCTCTCCTCTCCTCCCGCTGGTCTCCATCCGTTTTTCCCCTCCCCGCCCGCTCTTCCTCATCCCCCTCTCATTCCTCCTCCTCCTCCATTCCTTCTCCGTTCAAATGCTCCTGCCTGCCGTACTACCAGACGTGTCGATTGTGCGGGCCGAGCGTCTCGCCTGAGACTCTATCACCATGCTGATCTGGAAGCTTGAATTTCAACAGGGCGATGCATATATATATATATATACACACAAATAAATACATGTATAAACATACGTATATATATACATACATATCAATATAGATGTATTCAGAATGGGCATCTCGTCATAATGCGCGCACAACCGTCTTAGCAGCACGCCGCAACTACACGTATGGAAGCAAATATCCTTTGAAAATGGGGCTCTCTCTTTAGCGCACTGTCGCCTGACCAGCCTGCAACAATCACAAGGATGAAGGGAGGCACTGTTTGAAACCGGGGCTCTCGCCTTGGCGCCACGTGCATTCGACGCCACGCCAGGGCCAGCATCGGCTACAGGGATGGAGGCGGCGTCGTTTTGAACAGGGGGTTGTCGCCCGAGCGCTGGCAAATTCAGTACAGCAGCTGCCAGTAGTAAGGCCGGGGTCGTCTCCAAAAATGGGCTCTCGCTGCAGACTTGCACACGGTTCGAAGCCAGAAGGTCTTTTCTAGCACGTGCCAGCAGCGGCACGGGTGGAGGGCGGCTCCACTTGAAGCGGGGCTCTCGCCTGAGATCTCCCTCGGGCGACCGACGAGCGTGTCACAGGGCACCACACTCACAGGAGAAGAAACAGATGGCACGAACACACATCTGCAGCGCTCCGTGCGGGTTCCTTGGATCCGATCTGGGCCCCGTTCCTGGCGCACGGAGCGCGCCACGGAGGTGCCGCCCGGGGGAGGGGGGGGAAGGCCAGCGCGGATCCAAGAAATCCGCGCGCAGTGCGAAAAGTTTGTGTTTATGGCGTCTTCTGTTCTTCTTCGAATCTGTACGGATGAAGGACTCCCTCCCTCCCTCCCTCCCTCCCTCCCTCCCTCCCTCCCTCCCTCCTCCTCCTCCTCCTCCTCCCCTCCTCTCTCCTCCTCCTCCTCCCTCCTCCCTCCCTCCCTCCCTCCCTCCCTCCCTCCCTCCCTCCCTCCCTCCCTCCCTCCCTCCTCTCCCTCCCCTCCCTCCTCCTCCTCCTCCTCCTCCTCCTCCTCCTCCTCCCTCCTCCTCCTCCTCCTCCTCCTCCTCCTCCTCCTCCAGGCCACACTTTTTGCGCCGGCGGCTGGGCAGGGAGCGACTGCTCCGGCGGAGATGCAACGGGGGACACGCCGTACGCAAACGAAGGGCGCCGTGCACGGAAAGAGAGGGAGAAGTCCAGGGGCCCAGGGACACGCAACTACAGGTACACAAATCCCAGGCCTTCCCATTTTTCAAACATCTTTTCTGTGTGTTTTTCTTCTCCCCCCACTTCCCATACCCGTGTTTTCCTGGGAGTCGACGATGAGTTGTGTCTGTGTGGGCTCACTCTGGCCCTCCTCTCTCCTCCCCCTCCCTCCCCCTCCTCGCCCCCCCTTCTCCGGCCACCGTTCGCACGTCCCTTCCCTGTGCATGTTTCGATTTCGTGCGCGCATGTGGCTCGCAGGGTGGCCCGAAATGCTCCTCGATGGCCCTCGCCGAGGAAAAAAATGCTCACGTCCGGACGATGGCCAAGTTCTCTGCCGACGACGGCGCCGCCGACGTCGACGACTACAGCAGCGCGTCCTGGCCCAGGCCGGCCCCAACTCCGCCACCGCGCCCGGCGACGCCCCAGCAGAAGGGCCCGTCGGCTGCGCCGGGGCCTCGGTGCGCGGAGGCTGCCCCCGCGGACCCCTCCCGGCCGTCGTGGCCGCCGCTGCCGCCGCCATCGTCCTCATTCCGGGCCCCGTTCCGCCCTTCCCCTGCTCCCGCCTCCTCCCGACTCCTCCCTCGTCCTGCCTCCTCCTCCCCCTCCCTCCTCTCGTCCCCCTCCTCCCTCCTCCTCCCTTGTCATCCCGGTATCTCCTCCTCCTCCTCCTCCTCCGCCGTCCGTCCGTCATCCTCCCCCATCCTTCTCTCTTCTTTCATTGTGCTCCCCAATTTCAACCCATATCAACTCCCTTCCTTCCTCATTCGCTCCTCTCTGATCATCCGCCACCCCGTCATCCTGGATCGTCGTCAAGAGCATCAGCAGGGAGGGCGAGCGGTTGCCGGATCACGAAAATCACAAAGCTCGCGATCTACTTGACACGTACCCACGGATGGCCCAAACAGTTATCCTTCGACCCGAGAGGATCGAGACAGCGGCCGCCCTCCCATTTGCAACATTTGCTGGAGACCGATTCGGGCCCTGGGGCAGTCACAAGAACACTCAGGAGGAGGAGGAGGAGGAGGAGGAGGAGGAGGAGGAGGAGGACGGATGAAGATCGGTGGCGAGCCCAGGGGGGAAGTGAGAGGGGCAGGCCTTTTTTCAGAAGGAGCCGGGCCCTCCGAGGAGCCCTCGCGCCTTCTGGCAAGCGTCGTGCCTTCGCAGGAGGCTCACCTTAGGGGCCCGTCCACAAGAAGCCTTCCAGAAGAAACCCAGCCCTGAGACCCCAGGACGTCCACTGACTTTTGGCGTGGCAACTTCACGCTTCCCATCGCCCAACCATCGAGACCCTCGAAACCCAGCGCACCCTGGAGGCAAGCAGGGTGTGTCTTGGCACCTCCACTGTCGAAGGACTTCCCAGAAGGCGTGACGGCTTCTGAGCAGCCCCGCCGCCTTCCGAGAACGCCCGCCCCCTCCGCACTCCCCACCGGAGCTCGCCGCCGAGAAACGCCGGCCCCGGCACAGGAGGTCGGGGACTCGGGGGGAGGCCATGTCTGCAAGCCTCGGACCGCCGACTGCCTAGGGGAAGGGGGGCCATCTCCGCGCGGATCTCTCGGATCGGCGCTGGAGCCCCCTGGCGGCGCCTCTGGCGCCGCCCCTGGCGCGCGGAGCGCGCCAGGGAAGGGGGTCCAGCGCCGATCCGAGAAAGCCACGCGGACCTCTGCATGTTTATGTTCATGCCATTACTCGTTCCTCTAATCTCACCCCCTGCAAAGGTGATGCCTGGGCAGCACCCGGTCTTAGAGATCACGCCCCTGCCCCAATGTGTGTGTGCCATGTGGGAGGTGGGCGCTGCAGACTGGAGCCAGCCTGGGCCCCCGGATACCACAAGCAGGGGTGCAGAATGCAGCCCGCAGGGCGGGAAGCTGGGCCGTGAGCCGGAGTTGGCCAAGGGTGGTGCCTCACAGGCTTAACAGGGCATATGTCGACCCCTGTCCCAGACATCGTGGAGTTTTCGAATGAAGCAGAAATTTGAGCCCCAACCCTGGGATATACGATTGGGGGGCGTTCATCCTCGATAGTGGTGCGTCCGAATAGCCCCTTGGGGCCCAAGGGGTGTATCCCAGGGTCTCCCTCTTTTTCTGAGCGGGAGCGGCTGAACTTTTCCGGCGAAACTCAGAGATTGGGGGAGAAAAGTCACCTGCGAAGTCTGATTAATTACAAATTTTTGGCGGGTACCCTGACGTGTGGACGAGGGGGGGCCACTCACTCTGCGATCGTGAAGACGGGCGGCGTCGTAAAACGAACATCAGAAACGGCCGACGTTTTGTAGCGGTTTGAGGCTCCGTGGAAGGTTTCCTGAAAACCTAAGATTGGGTCGGGCGTGTCCCCCTACAGGCGGATTTTGGAACAATCAAAAGTAATTAAAGATATTCAAAAATAACCAAACATGGTCCCAAATCGTCCCCAGACTATTTTTCACTATTTTGGGATATTCTAAGGGAAAACAAACCTACCTCGCTTTTGACCACCCTCGCTTCCAAGAGATACCAAGCGATGCCAAACTACGGCCTGTACTGATCAGGCCGCTTGACGAGGAGGCGCGCGGTATGACTTGGTTTTGCCTGGAAGCGAAAGCGGGATAGGTAATTCACGCTCTTTATTCCTCCTGTAGAGAGACACGCCCGGCTTGAACCTAAGACAAACTGTAACACCATCGAAGAACATCCTCGGCGGCCCGACGGCACCCGTCCGCAGCCGTTCCCCATGGGCCACTGTTCCACCACCAGTGCCAGAGGCAGGACTGGGGAGAAGGGGAGATAGGGAGGTGCTCCTCCTCCTCCTCCTCCTCTTCCTCCTCCTCCTCTTCCTCCTCCTCCTCCTCCTCCTCCTCGTCCTCGTCCTCGTCCTCGTCCTCGTCCTCGTCCTCGTCCTCCTCCTCGTCCTCGTCCTCCTCCTCCTCCTCCTCCTCCTCCTCCTCTTCCTCCTCCTCCTCCTCCTCCCTCTCCTACTTATGGTAGTGGTGGCGGCAACACGGCCCATCGAATCCTGCCACGCGGCGACGGCCGGGCTCGGAAGGCGCGCGACCGCGCCGACCGAGCGCGGGACGCGCAGGCGCTCCTGCCGCAGGGCCCGCCTGGCCGCCGCCGCGGCGAGCAGGGTCGCGGCCGAGAGGGCTGGCGAGCGCCGGGCTTCTGTTCTCTCTGACGCCGCTGCCGGGGCGCTAAGAGGGGGCGTCCTCCTCCTGCTCCTCCTCCTCCTCCTCCTGTTCCTCGTCCTCCTCCTCCTCCTCCTCCTCCTCCTCCTCCTCCTCCTCCTCCTCCTGCTCCTGCTCCTCCTCCTAGTCCTGGTCCTCGTCCTCTTCCCTCCTCCCTCCTCCCTTTCAGCCTTTCAGCCTTTGACCTACATGATCCCACGGCGTGAGACCAGCAGCAGAGAGAGGGGGCGAGCGGGAAAGAGTGGGGAACAACATTTGGGCAACACAGCAACCTCAACCTCTCTGAATGGGGACGTTGTGGCCGAAATATGTCTTGGTGGAGGGGTCAATCCCCCTCTTAAGGAGGGACAGACTATTGGCAGCATCTCGATTCACTGGATGCCCAAGGCATTTCACACCCAACTTCAAGATCTTAGCTCTGCCAAAGCTCCCACACACCGCGCAATAATACAACCGCTGATTCTGGACGGACTCGAGACTCCCCCAAAGCCGATGGGTCGAGTGCGCCTGGCGAATTAGTTTGGGGATACCAGTGCAGCTAGTCAGGACCAGGCCCGCGTAAGTCCTCGATCGGGACAGACAGATAGCACAAGCAAAACCTTTGCCACAGTGCTGAACCTGATGACCGTTCGGGCTCGGCACTATGAGCAGCCCGTCTGGTTTCGCCCTGGGCCTGGCCTTACAAAACTCAACGTCTGGAAAACGACGGCGCGACCACTGACCAAGCATCCTCGCCGTGAAACGAGACAGAGAGGAAAGACGCGCGGCCTGCCTGGCCTCCACGTCCTGGAGATGCTGCGAGTGGGGAACCTCGCGGGCGGCCTGCTTGGACAGAAAATCGACAGTTCGATTGCCGCGCCACGCCCAGGCTGGACAGCCTAGGGCATCGGCACTAGTCCTGCTCTTGTGAGCAGGTACCTCAAAGAAAGTGACGGTTTCTGGGCCTCGGTCCAAAATCCGAGCAAAAACTTCAATCCAAAACTCTCCGAAGGGCAAATCCGCGCAGTCCTGGAGACACTCTCGGGACCAAACAGAAATCAGAGCTTCACAATCAATGCCTACTTCTAAATTCCCAGGTCCAGCATGCCTGAGGATCATGAGCACTGCATAAAGTTCGGCCCCATATATATATATAAATATATATATATATATATATATCCTGCAAGGGGTGGGGGAGCGGTCCTGACGCACTGGCCAGGATGTCCCCAGCTTCGTTCAACATGGCGAATGCCCAACCTGCTCTACTATGGTGCCTGACCTTGGGATCCAGGACTGAGCCATCGGAGCAAATCTTACCTGAAACGAATCCGTCAGGCGGCGGCGCAATCCACCTCCACCTGTCCAGAGTCTTGGGCACGGGGGACCTTCAGGTGGGGGAGGAGAGGAGACACCGAGTGAGGAAGGGGTCATTAGGGTCCCCACGTTCCCATTCAGGCAGCTCCTTTTCAAAGCCTTGGCCTCGTCTAAACAACTGATTCCCAGGGCATCCAAACATTCTGTGAAACCTACCCCCTTCAGGAAAACCACACACTTGGCAAGCCCCACTCAGAACCCGTCGATCCTGATATAATTCCAGCTGTGTAACCAATCCTCCAGAAACATGGGTGGCCTGCAGAGAAGCCTCGAAATGTTCTCCTTTCTTCCTGAGGTCCTCGCATACCTGGGCAATGGGCTCAAGCATGGGCCTGGCGCAGGTGGCGCCGCCATGCTCCCACTGCAGGTCCCCGACAGACACATCCTCAGTTGCCAAGTCCACGAGGCACTTGAGGCTGCGGCTCCTAAGCTTACTGAGGTCGATCGGCATCCCAGTCGGCATGAACCACTTGGAGTAACTCTCAGGAACCCATCGTATCCTCTGAAGAGTGCACGCTACAGCCCCCGTAGGGCCGCGGACCTCAGACCAGGAAATCTCTGGAAACTTCCGAAGGTAGAAACTGAAGACCTCCTGCATCTGCTGCGGGGGGGGGCCCACGAGCCCCAATAAGCCTTAGCCCAGAACACCAAAGGAGCGGAGTTGCCGATATACACTGGGTCGGCAGCCTCATTGCCCGAGAGCGCAAACTGGATAGTTCTTGCCCTCCCTCGAGCTGGGCCAAAAATGCCCTCAGCCACTGCTGATCTGAGGTGCTGCAAGCGCTTGTCGGAGACTCCCATCACGCCAATTCCGTAACTGCCAGCTGGGAGGGCTCCCGTACGAGCGATCGATATTAACTTTTCGAACCGGGATTTAAGCGAACGAAACCGACCAGCTCTCAACCTGATCTTTCGGATCCGAGTCTTCTGGATCTGAGCAGCCCGACTCCGAAGCGAATAATCACACCCAAGATTCCGAACCGAATGCGCCGATTTGAATCCCCACGTCTTAAGCCCTGCACATATGCCAGCTGACAGTTCGGCAGTATATGCAAGAACTTTACCTTTACTTCTGGAAATAATCAGCTGCCTGGCCTCGAGTCTGTTGCAGAGGTCGCGCGTGGCCTTGACGGCCGAGTCCCTGACTAACTTGGCGGTTGCAATTACCTGAATCGTGATGTCATCGACCGCGTTAAAAAACCGGCATAACTTGCGTGAACGAACCATGCTATCCATATCAGCAATGATACGAACCCGTAACAGTGTTGTAGCATATCCGCAACCTGCCCAGATAGTTGCATACACCACAGTGGGCCTGGAGACGAGGAGGCCCATGAGGAGCACGCGCGGGCAATAATACTGGGCCAGGCAGAGGCGCAGGTGGTATAAGGGGAAACTCTGCTGCCGAGCAGCAGACAGTAACTGAAGGTGCTTCACCTTCTCGTGCGCTTTGGTCAGGTCAATCAGCACATTCGCAACATCAAACCGGTTTATTGATGCGTGCTCTGCTGCAAGAGCCTGCTCCCACACTGCTCTCTCGCATGCTTTCCCTTTCGTCCCATGCGAGAAACCCCTCGGATGATCCAACTCCCATTTCGCTGCTTCTCCTCTAGCACACCTGCTCCAAAGACGGACAGTCATACTCAAGAGGGCGATGATCCGATGACCTTCGTCATCGGGCTTGGGTAAGGCTGGCTGCAAGGTAAGCGAAATCTGAGACGGGATCGTCCCGTCACGGAGCATCCAGCTCCACAGCGCATTCAAAGCTTCCAAGCACGGATCGGAAAGAAGCAGAAAATCACGAGGTCTGAGCCTGTCCACGCCGTGAGCCGTCCAAGCATTCATCTTCCTAGCGACCGATCTGATCTGGTCAGGGCTGAAGCTCATGATGGGGTTGGGGAGGTCCTTCAACATGTCTTTCAGCTTCTGGAACACGCCTTCAGGATCTTCAAGGGGCCTGCTGGAGCCACTGGAGTCCCATATATTTTCCCAGTCCTGGAGGTTCTGCTCAATGAGATCTGAGGGCCCAGGAGGTGCTTGTCCTTGTCGAGGTATTACAGGGCGCCAGCCCACTGGGGGCTTGCTTAGTGTACTGATGGGCACGACCTGCTCCTGCCTGCACGGCTTCCTGAACAAAGCCTCGCCACTGCTTAGCTCTGGAACTGGCAAACTGCGCCTCGAGCTTCTTTGCGTAGCCTCCAGCACGCTCATGCAAGTCATCTAAAGCTTCTGAGTCGCACCAAGCCAGATATCCGGCATCCAGATACCACATACTTTTCTTGCCATTCTTCAGTGCCGCGAATCTCTGGGGTACCAAGCAGTATCTTGGCGAACAAAGCTGCAGCTCCTACAGTGCCCTTAACAGAGTCCTGAGCACGGACCCCGGAGAGCTCCCGAGCCCAGTTTCCCCACTTCCTCCAGGCCCTGCTGACGGGGCACGCCGCAAGGTAGGGTCCAGAGGAGGGGGGAAGGGCAGGGATGGTTTTTAATTTCCAACCCAGTCCTCGTCCAGTATATCTCTTCCAACCAGACTCAGGAATACCGTACACTGCTAGAAGCTCCTTCTCTAACAATCCCATAAAACTCCGGAAGACTGTGTTCATCTGCTGCTGATCTCCTCCATCCTCCAAACCTTGAATAACTCCTTCCCATTCAGCTGGTGGTGCAGGAAGGGGGCCTTGTGGGCGCTCTCGTGGAAACTTTCGAGGCGCCTGCAGGGCCGCGATGCACTGTGGGACCAACTTTCCTCGAAGCCGCAGGAGCACTGGACGACGGGGCTCGATAGCTGCATTCAGCGCCACCGTGCACGAAACAACAGAGGGTGCCAGCGCATCAGATATTACAAAATAATCAAGCGTGCGCCATTCTCTCTTGCCTGCCGTGCAAGTAGGAGAAGCGGGAGCAATGATACGGCCTCGAAGCTTACTCGCCCAGCCGAGACGACCCAAGAGCGCAGGAGGCGCACTCCAGTCTCCTCCGATCAGAAAGGGGAGTGAAGCCGCATGCAAGAGCTCACCCAACCGACTCAACAACTGGGTTCCTTCTGCTCCAAAGGAGTCCGCGGTGGGCATATATACTGATAAAGCCAGGAAGCCTCCAGGTATCACAGCATTTACCCATTTCACCAAGACCCGATGATGAAAAAGAAGAGGTTGAGGCCGTCCTGGTGGGTTCCCCATTCCGATGCATGCAGGAACCCCAATCGCAACTCCTCCTGAAAGGCCTCCAGCTTCCGTGGTACGAGAAGGGCTTACTGCTGTCAACAAACCCTGATCACGCAACATCTGCTCGCAGTCTGTCTTCCGATCCTGCGGGGCGCCTACCTCCTGCAAGAGGAAAACCTGCGGCCCTCTTGGAGAAAATTCTGCTCTGCCGCCACAACTGACTGCCTTGCGGAAAACTGCTTCTTTTCGGCGAACCTGTGTCTGAGCCTCAACGTAGGCTAAGCACGGCTTCCAACTCGTGGTATTCACCGTGCGCAGGTACAGGTCACCGATGTTAAAGCCCTGGCTTGCGGCCTCCAGCCGCCTCTCTACCCTTTGTCGTCGCCGCTGCTGCCCTTGCCGCTGACGTTGCCGCTGCTGGCGCACGACTGGGCCTGCTCGA